TGTGTCACTTGTCGATTGTGTACAATTAAGTTGGGCCTATTACTGCATTGCCCATTATTACCATCAAGCACTCTCTGCGAACGCTTTATAGCTCATTAAATATTTTAAGGTTCCCCGAGGACTTCTACCGTCGATACTTGACTTTTAGGTATCCAACATCTATGATCGTTACATTCTACTGTTGAAGCATTATCTGGAGGCCCGCCATGGTTTTACCCGAGGTCGCACTCTATTGGCCGCCGTGTTAACCAATCTGGCGGAGCTACAGGCTTTAACCGACAACTACGGTCACATACTCCTCCATGTCGATCCCAGCAAAGTTGACCCACTGATCCTCGAAGTATTCAATCTTTCGGATCGTGGAAAGGCTAATAGAGGGGGAATAAAAGGAGACGACTCGAGCCCTCTGCTTATGGTTGATCGAAACACATCAAGTTCTAGCCTGACTACTTCGACCTAAACCAGATTCCAGAAGTGGCGCATACGTCCGTCAATTATCATTAGAAATGCGTCTGTGCCTCATTTTCATAGCGCACCGAATGATGTTTATGTCCATATAGCTTGCCGGTTGTAAATAATCGCTCCATATTTTGTGTGTATGTGTGCTTCAGTATTGGTGTGTGTACCATGACCCGTTTTGCGTCATCATCCACCACACGCCTATTCTTCACCCTCTCCTCGCTTTTTTAACTCGATAATTTTTGTCTCTATTTTGGAGTGATTTTCTGTAAAGACTTGTGATATGTGCGATTTTTTCTTCTCTACTAACTCCTGAAGTAATGAGCCCGAGTTCTTGTGTCCTTCTCCTGCCCCTTTATTTTTCTGGTTCAATCTGGAATGTTCACGTATGTATACATACATATTTTGCATTTTAAAGTCAATGCAGATGCTTCATTTTAAAGAAGATAATTTTGACTCTCAGGCAGTGGGTGAATTTGAATGGAACTCAATTTGCGGTAACTGCAGAAAAATGATGTGAGTGCGTTGACTCATTTGCCTCTACTTTGCGGAGAAGGTGCAGTTGGAGTTGTGGAGGAAGTGAAGGGTGGGTCTTTACTCCAGATGATTTAAGTGCATTGAACGAATTATGGTGATCAAAGTTTGTACATGGAAAGAAAATTGAAAATGCGGGCTGGTGTTTGTTTGGTTCCGACGCATCATAGAACAGTGGAGTTGAAGTATTCTGCAAAAAGGCAACAAGCACCACCCAGACAACATGAGTTTTACATATAGTGAAGGTCGGTAGGTGCAGACGAAGCAGGAAACACGCAGGAGTAAATGGACTTTGAGAAATTGTGTGCTTTCGAGAACCAGGTTAAATTGTTTGCAAAGTCGGTAGTCCTGGAAGTGAGGCAAAACACTAAAACAACTTCATCAGAAATTATTACTATGCACGATACGTACCTTATCAAGTGAAAACTGATCGCAGAAATGCAATGAGGCGAGTTTTGGTTGATTTTCGTTGCAGATGGAGTAAGAAAGTGGGGTCTAATCCCTTTATTCTCTCTGGGTTATGCATATTTAGCTCCATTTACTGCCCCCTACTACCATGTGGAAAGTCTCAGGCCGCTACACTAGTGGAAGCATTGCATATACCTGCAGGGAAAGGAAGCACACTTACGTTGGAGGCGGAAAAATCTCTGAATTCCTCACTACAAAAGATTGGATTCCTAGTGTCCTCATTTCCACGTACAAGATACTAACAGCTTAGGCGACACTGCCACGAACTATTTGGGATATTTTCGTTTCGGAAGTTCTCATTCTAGACCCGTGGATAGGAGTCTAAAATGACACTTTGAATCTCGTTATATGCGAGACCGCGTTTGATCCTGTTTGTCAGTAACACATCCACTTGAGACCAGAGTTCCACCATTTAAACCTGGACGCAATTGATGGCCAACTGATTTGTGCGCCTAAAATCAGACTGTTAAACCGAGTTTAGATTCTGGTTCGTTTGAATGTGCTTTGGAGAAAAAGCACCGTTTCTTAGCCACATTGCAATGGTAGACTGTCGCGGCTGACGCGTTGGTGCGGAGGACGCCGCTCTAATAAGGGAAGGGTAATGCAATCTTGATTTACGTGACCACCTGATGACTGGGGGTTACATTAAGAGTTGTCTGGCCCTTGTTCATGTGGTCTGTCTTTTGAGCCAAGCACAGACCTAATTCTATTAATCTCTCTAGAATTCATGCACTTGGCTTCACTTGATGTCCTCTTTGACCTGGTGAGAAGTCTCGTAATGTCACATATATATATAATGCTGGAATTTAACATAGTTAAAAAGATAAACGAATTCGATAAGATAAAACTGCAAACAAAAGTTGTTTTAGAAGGCGAAAACCACTGTAGGAAATATATAGGTAAAATTTTGATCCTGTATTCAAACATCTGGAAAATTTTTGTTTGTCTCCTCCAAGTGCTGGTACCCCTGTCCGGGTATTTGGAAAGCGTTGGGCTTTTGCTTTCTCGTCATCGTGCCTGAGAAGGTCGGTTATCGGTCTTAATGACTTTATTTTCTTCCTTTCTGCCTATAATACATTACTAAAACCTTGAGT